GAAAATAAATCCACTTATTCACATTGTTCTGCAACTTTTGACTTATCATCTCATTAACAGATAAGGTTCGTTCCATTGTAGTGGAATTGTCACTGATCAATATTTATTATTTAGGACACAAGTCTTCTTGTCCTTGTTGACATTGGTCAGTTCATTTTCAACCTCAGAAACAGAAGTCGACAAAAAGTAAAGTTTCACTATCGTTACTATTGTGAGCTTTTTTTCAGTTTTTTGTTGAATTCTCTGAGAATAATTCAGGGCTGATATTTATGTGTGTGCATGGATCTAGTAAATTTAAATGTGGTTTTACTCTAGTGCCATTATAACTGCTGTTTTCAAAAGTCAAAGAAACAAACGTCAACCTCACATTTAACAGTTATGAAAGAAAGACTGTTAGCAGATATAAAATACTGAGTCAATATTGTAATACAAAACTAAAGCTTAAATGAAAATCAAACTTAACTAAACATTTAGTTAAACAGATTTATCTCCCTGCATCAGAGGGATTTTGACCAATGTGTTTCTGAGTGTGTTATTAACATGTGAGCAGAAAAAGGCAAAAACCCTCGTATCGTACTGTAAACCTTTTCACCTTTATTTTCTACATTTGGATCAGCTCAGTGTGGAAGCCTGGACATGTCAGTCAGCTGCAAACCCCCCGACCCTTGAAAATCAGAACATCTGATACACCACCCCTCCGGTGTCACAATCAGAAAATGCTCACATCTTCACCACAGTCACTCGCTTTGACATGAAAGAATAAAAATCTGTCGACACCCTCCTCACGACCGTGTCCACAACAAAGATGAACCAGTGACGTGTCCGGTGTGTAAACTCTTCCTCCACTGGAGGAAGCTGAAATGGTTAAAACCTTTATGAAGTCACCTCTCCTGCTCTGACTCACAGGAGTGATACAAATAGAAGTATAAAGAAAAGATGATGGTTGAAATGACACTGATGAAGCTGTTGAGCCTGTTTGGCTCCTCACAGAGATATGAACAGTGGAATACTGCAGGTGAGCTTGTAAAGAGAGATATGTAGTTATGGATTAAGATATGTCATCTGCTGCTGCTGTGCTCTTTGTAATCCACAGTTTAACACTTTCACTCCGTTCTGCTCTCTACAATATTAGTCTGTCCCTGATTAAGTTGTTGATACTCTCGCCGCGTCCCAGGCATCGTTTCCTACTGTAGATATGTCCTCAGGAGAGATCAGAGGCTCGGCTCTGTGAAGCAAAAATAAAAGCAGCTTTTTGTAAGACAGAAGCAGGAGTATGCTGATCTGCTGTCAGCCTATGCTACGGGCTCTTGGTCGTCCAACAGTGAGGACTCTGAGAGCTGCTTGTTCTGGAAAACCGGGAGCTGATGGACTGATTAGTTATAAAACCTGCACTGACGCATCCATCCACACACTCCGCTGGAGGGAAGAAGCCCTTGGAGTGTTTTTTTAATTTATTTTTTTACATGAGGTCATTGAGAAGAAGATATGCCAAAATGGATTAAAGTATCAGGCTTGTGAAGCCTTTTTTTCCTATATGTGTACTCTGTGTGTGTGTGTGTGTGTGAGAGAGAGTTAGGCAGTGAACATCGGTTACATATGCAGAGTCCTCTGTGTGTATGTGCCTGGTAGCTCTATGTTCAACACTGTTAAAGACAACAGACGGACAGACAGACTAGGGTTACTGCTCTGTGACTCTCACAGGACTGTAGAAACAGACAAAGCCATGTAAAAACTGGACATAGAAATCTCAAGATATCACAAACATCTTTTTTTTCTATACCACTAGATCTCTGCAGAAGGCAGACGTGGGTCCTCGTGTTCATCCTCCTGTTTTTTTTTTTGTTTTGTCTTTTTTAATTTGCAGTCCCTTGGAAAATTCCTCAGCATGGAGGCTTCAGTCTGCAGGATGAA